TTCCAGCAATGCCCAGCACTGGCAATGTCCAGCCTGGTGCAATCAGCTTTTCCACAGTGCCAGAGCCCTGGCAATGTCATCCTGGTGCAATCAGCTTTTCCAGCAGTGCCAGAGCACTGGCATTGCCCAGCATGGTGTAATCAGCTTTTCCAGCAGTGCCAGAGCACTGGCATTGCCCAGCCTGGTGTAATCAGCTTTTCCAGCAATGCCCAGCACTGGCATTGCCCAGCCTGGTGTAATCAGCTTTTCCAGCAATGNCCCAGCCTGGTGTAATCAGCTTTTCCAGCAATGCCCAGCACTGGCATTGCCCAGCCTGGTGTAATCAGCTTTTCCAGCAATGCCCAGCACTGGCAATGCCCAGCCTGGTGCAATCAGCCTTTCCAGCAATGCCCAGCACCGGGCAGGATGAGCTGGCCCGAGGTGACACAAGGGCAGAAAGCTGTGTAGACTCCACAGCAGTGATAAAATCTCACTGCTTCCAGATTTTCCATGTTGAAAAGACTTTCCTGTTCCCATTTTGCTCATTCTGAGGTGTTTTATCTATGACTAATTGTATAATCCAATTGACATTTATTTCATTACCACCTTTTCCACAAAACAAAAAAAAAAAAAGACGTAGTGAACAGTATCCCCCAAATGTCTCACTATGAATACATAAAAATTCTCAGTCAAAAGCGATCTCATTATAGCAAGAAAATTTATTTTGCCTTACAAAAATTGGCTACCAGACTGCAGCTTCCACTCAGCCCCAAGGATCCCAAAGCAAGCCCCAGGAGATGGGAAGCTGAGCTGAGGTCTGTCACTGTGCTGACAGCAGCTTTATAATGAAGTCCCTTGATGGAGAATAGCTAGAATAGAGTTATCAGTCTGTGGGTTTTTTCCTTATCAGTAAACTGGGCAAAAGCCACTGTGGACAGCAACTCTGTGCAGTTCCATCCATATGGAATACCATTCCAAACTTCACCTAAATGTGCTTGGGCTCCCCATCAGTCACACTCCTCATTTCTGTAGATTGGGAAAACATGAGAAGATGGCAGAATTCAGACTAGAAACACTCAGGTTCACACAGGCACTGCCATGGTCTCCCCTGCTCTGTGATGTCTCAAGAAGGAAAAACTAACCCAAAGTCAATAGATAGGAGCAGCAGGAATACTGAATAGTTCTTATTTTTGTCCCAGCTCTCCCAAATACCACCCATAAGCAAACTCCTATGTGTTAAATCATTTATTTGTGGCAAGTTTTCTTTAATACAAATCTGTTTTACCAAAACAGAAAAGCAGATGCTACCAGAAGAAACAACTAGTGATGTAAACTACTCACAGCATCCCCATGCCACAACACAGCACTGCTGCACTGGCTGTGCAAACACGAGTCTGGCCCGAGCCCCACTGCACAGGCAGGTTCCACTCAGCTGCACAGCATAAGGAGCAAAACTGGAAAGTCTAAAAGCTGAAAATGGGTAAAAGATGACCCCATCCTCACATGCATGTGATACAGATTTGGAAATCAGTGGGGGGAGCAAAGCCCACACCATTCCAGTCCACTGCAGCTGGGCTTAGCAACTACTGCTGGTTCCAGAGGTTCCCATTTGTGAGACTCTGTCTAAAATTTCCCTCATTGGCCTCATGATTGTCATTGGGGACCGCTGAAGATAAAGATCTCCCTGTCTTAAATCTCTGACTCTGTAGGAGAAAGTTACACACACCATGGGCCCCGAGACCTGAGAGCATTGCTAAGTTATTGTTTTCACAGGTGCATTTATTGTATGCTACACTGAGCTCAGTGAAGGACATCCTGCCCTTTTTGCAACAATAGCTCTGGGATTTTTGTGACGGTGTTCCAGGGGTCTTTGCATGAGGGAAGAGACGAGGATCTGACTCCATATTTCAGAAGGCTTGATTTATTATTTTATTATATATATTACATTAAAACTATACTAAAAGAATAGAAGAAAAGATTTCATCTCAGAAGGCTAGCTAAGCTAAGAATAGAAAGGAGTGAATAACAAAGGCAGCTGCCTCAGACTCTCTGTCTGAGCCAGTTGTGCCATGATTAGCCATTAATTACAAACAAGCACATGAGACCAATCACAGATCCATCTGTTGCATTCCACAGCAGCAGATAATCAATGTTTACATTTTGTTCTTGAGGCCTCTCAGCTTCTCAGGAGAAAAATCCTAAGGAAAGGATTTCCATAAAAAGATGTCTGCGACAGATTTTTCCCCACCTCTCGGCCTGGCCAGACTTCTCCTGAGTTCTGGGTGGTCCCCTGCAGAGGACCCCTCTCACTCATTTGCAGCCACCATGACAGACTGAGATGTAAGGAGCCTCTTCAGCAAAGAAAAACCAAGACATGAAACCCCTCTGTGAGAGGACTGGGACTGGAACCCCCAACCCAGGGGAGGTCTGTGGGGGAGGCAAGCTGACCAAAGTGAGATGGATGTTGCAGGTGTGAGCATTGGACCAAGAAGACAATGGCTCTCACCTACTGCCAAACATGGACTGTGTGTACCCTTTCCTAAACACCATTCTTTCCCCCGAAGATACAATAAAATACCTTTGATTTGGTTTCAAAATTCATTCCCCTCCCTCCATCAAAAAGGAGCATGATAAGAGTTCAGATGGACTGCACCTGAGATCTCCCCAGACATGACCTGGTGGACTCCCTCGAGAGACTTTGCCGTTCTATGTTTGGTAGCTATGTAACTTTCTTTTTTTTTTCCCTCTCCCTCTTTTCCTTACTTTTCCCTTTTCCCCCAATTCCTCCCCAATGCATTTTGCTGTGGTTATTTCAATAGATGTGCATTTGTTTTGATTATCACTGCAAACCCCCTTGTACCATGTCGGCTTTTTGCACCCTGAGATCCCCCATGATCCCTCACGAAACCCATCTGTGAGGACGGCTCGTGACACCATTAGCTGTGGGGATGTTCCTGCAGGCTCTGATGGATCCTGTTGGGCACGGTGCTGTCTGACCCAGAAACAAATGTTCTCTGTCTCAGAAGCAGTTGCAGCTCCTACTGCAGCAAAAGGACAAGAGACTCTCACAGAAAGGGCTCTAAATCCAAGCTGAGAGATTTCTTCAGAACTACAAACACTGAGCAATTTCCCTGCATCCAAAGTCAGTTACAAAGACACATTCCACAATTTGTGAGCTTATTTAATTGTCTGAGCGTGGATATCTCAAACTTAAGACCCCAAGTCTGTCAGGACTAAACTTAATACTGATACTGTGAGTAAATGTGAGGTGCCATTGAACAAAGATGTCATCATCAAAATCTGTAGAATTACTATACATTAGGAATTCCTGAACTTTAAAGTGGAGAAAATATTTTGATATCCTAAAGTGCAATGTTGCACACATCCATGATTCTTGAAAGGCAGAATGGGGCCTCGGGGCACATAACCAAAAACAGAAAATCAGATTTTCTCCGTGTGTACAGATTGACACCTTCATGCCATAACCAAACAACAAAGACCCCTAAAAGGAAGCCATGCAGTTTCCATTTATTGAAATTATTAACAAGGAGTCTTTCATGGAGTCAGACGTTTTGAGGGGTTGAAGATATTTATTACAAGGTAACTTCTGCAGCAGCATTCTAAGGGATTTTAGGGTACCTAGGTATTATAGTTTTGGCAACAGGTACAGGTTTCTGTGATTCATAAGGAAACACACCTGTAAATTCCCATAAATCCTGATTTCAATTGCCTTAGACTCCCTTAACGCTCACCTGGATTGAAGAAGAAAAGAAAATGAAAAAAAAGGTGATCAGTAACAGCAGGAAACTGCTTACCAGGGAGTCCAGATCGACCCCAAACTTCATTACAGTTCTACATCCATCGCTGCTAAACCAGGGAAAAGTTGAACAGCCTAAATACTGACAGCAAAGCCGTTCTGATTGTGAGAAGTTGCTCTCCAGGCTACAAAACTCCTGAAGGGAGATGTAGTCAGGTGGGGTCGGTCTCTCCCACTGGGCAGCACTGACAGAACAAGAGGACACAGCCTCAAGGTATGTCAGGGAAGGGACAGGTTGGATATTAGGAAGAAGTTTTTCACCGAAAGAATAATAAAGTACTGGAATGCTCTTCCCAGAGAGGTGATGGAATCACCATCTCTGGATGTGTTTAAAAAAAGACTGGACATGGCACTTGGTGCTATAGTCTAGTTGAGGTGCTAGGGCATAGGTTGGACTTGATGATCTTAGAGGTCTTTTCCAGCCTCATTCTGTGATTCTGTGGAAACCACCCAGGGACAGGGAAGTAAAGAAGGCTCTTTAGCTCCATGTCTCTATAAACAGGCTCAGTGGGACCACTCTGCAGTGTCCTGCAGAGCTAATGAGTGCGTGGGTGACAGAAACTGCCCATGGAACTTGGATCATGAAATACTCCAAACTGCTGACAAAGCATTCAGAAAAGCGGCCTCACTTCACACATTCTTTCCTAAAAAGCTAATGATGCTTTTCCTAGAGGTAAACAACCAGTTATGAAAGCTCATTCGCTTCAGTACCTGCTGCAGCCCTGTTCCTCCTATATCCAGCACTACGTCATTTATCAAGCACAATGAGAAACGTCCCCAAATAAATGTTACTACTGTAAAGTGGGTTTAGCTCTGGCTTGGACTACATGAGTACATCCTCCTGCTAGCCCCCATCCAGCCCCACGGCATTATATCCTCCGCACAGCCGGATAATCCCGTCCGTCCCCGTGGGTTTACTCCAGGCAGTCCCTCCCTTCCAGCACTTGGGCTGGCCTCGGCTTTTCGGAGCCGCTGTCCGCCTCCAGCTCGGCATGCAGGCGGCGAATCCCCGCGGCAGCCCCGGTGCCGCCGCCCGCCGCTGCCGGGCGCTGCCGCAGGAGCGATGAGCGGCGGGCTCGGCCCGGCGTGTGCGGCCCCGGGCCCCCCCGCGCTGCCCCCGCCATGTGCGGCCCTGCCCGCGGGGCGGGGGTCACCCGCCCCCCGGCCCCCAGCCCGGGGCCGCCGGCTCCGGCCCGGCCCCGCGCACGGCAGGAGGCGGCGGGGCCCCGCCGGCCCCCGGGGAGCCGCGGCGGGGGCGGATGGAGACAGCGGGCACGGCGGCGGGCTGGGGTAAGGCAGGGCAGGGCGGCATGGGGGAAGGCAGGGGCTGAGCCGGGATGGGCAAAGGCAGCAGCCGGGGGAGGGCAGGGGCTGAGCCGGGATGGGCAAAGGCAGCAGCCGGGGGAGGGCAGGGGCTGAGCCGGGATGGGGAAAGGCAGCAGCCGGGGGAGGGCAGGGGCTGAGCCGGGATGGGCAAAGGCAGCAGCCGGGGAAGGGCAGGGGCTGAGCCGGGATGGGGAAAGGCAGGGGCTGGAACTGAACCGGGCTGAGGGGAAGCAGGGGTTGGGGCGGGCTGGGGAGAGGCAGAGCCTGAACCGAGCTGGGGAAAAGGCAAGAGCTGAACCGAGCCGGGGAAAGGAAGGAACCAAGCTGGGGAAAGGCGTGAGCTATGCCGGGCTAAAAGGTAGGGGTCGAGCCGTGCCGGAGTATAGCAGAAGCCGTGCCGGGGCTAGCAGGAACCGTGCCGGCCGATCCCGGCTCTGAGGGGCCGCTCCCGGGTGGGGCAGGCTCTGAGGGACCGATCCCAGCTCTGAGGGGCCGATCCTGGCTCCGAGGGGCCGATCCCGGGTGGGGCAGGCTCCGAGGGGCCCCGGGAGCCCGTGTGTTGCCGCCCAGCCGCGGGTGCAGAGTGCGGGGATCCCGCAGCCCAGAGGACCCTGCCCGGAACTTTGTGTGGGCCGGGCCCCTTCCCTAGAGGGGAGCAGCCCCTTCCCGGCCGCGGGCAGGGCAGCGCCGAGACCCCGAGCCGAAGTCCGTGACACAGCGAGCGACCCTCGGGAATCAGGCTTTAAATCCTCGTCTGCATTAGCAAACGAGCTCATCTTTAAAGAAATCTAAAGATCTGGTTATTTAGGACACGTTTTACTCGTGTGCATTTTGTTGCCTGTAAATATAAATCTTTGAAGAGCAAGATATAAATATTAAAGCCTAAGTGCATAGGGGGAGTATGTGTATCAGATTTTAGACTAAATTTATTCCAACCCAGTTTGGCACACACATGCCTGATGCATTCAAGCTGCACTCACACAAATCAGGGAAGTTACTTGGTTTTACAGTGGTAGGTGCCTGTTTCAGAGACTGGTGAATGACTTAACAATAATTAGCATATTTATATAACACAATGTTGTTTATACATGGGGTTTGGAATCTGAGAGGCATTAATTTCATTTCCTGAACAGGAGAGATTCCTAAAGTATGAAGCAATGCCTTGTTTGGCGTTTTGCCCCCACTTGTGTGCACCCGGGGTCTGAGATGTGCAATCCTGCCCAAAGAGAGCAGGTGAACCTTACCTCAATGTGCCTTCAATTCACATCTGGTACCAAATGAAACCAAACTGTTATTAAGGACTTTTCTCTTCATTTTTCCCTTTTTAGTTATTTTCTTCCATCTTCCTTTCATCTCTGGAAGCTCCATCAGTATTGGGATAGGCAGCAATTATTCCAATCTCCGTAAGTAATCTCTTTTTCTTTTTTTTTTAAACTGTATTATTGGAGTGTTTTGCAGTCATGTACAGCTGCAGAAATAATATATTTCAAGTTCTCTAGCAGATAAACATCAATCCAGTAAAAGGCAAATAGCTTCCTGACTGAGAAAAAACTGAGTTAACAGAAATGTCCTTAACCTTGTCATCTTTAGGTAGACCAAACTCACAGAAATGACAGAATTTTCTGAAATAAAGGACCATAAAATTTAGTGTCAGGTACAAGTACTTCAATATTTTATTTTTTTAAAAAAAATCCTTCTTTCAGCATTTTCTCCCACAACAGCAAACTACCAAATTGACAAATGGAGCACACTGACATCAGTCAAAATTTATATCATTTTGGCACTCACTAGTGAAACAAATGTGGCTAAAAATTACTTCCAGTCATTGAAATAAAACAATTCCTGACATTTGACTTCCTTCTGCTCTCCTTTTTATTGACTGCCTTTTGTAGTCATTACATGAGGGTTTTTTGAAGAGGAAATACAGCATTGTAGGAGCCAATTATCCTCGTGTCACTGGTCCTATTTTGGCAGAAAACCACATGCACACAGGGAAGCAGGGCAGCATGTCCAGTGTCTTGGATGGAAGAATGCAGAATAAAAAAATACACAGCAATTAAACCCACCAAGAGCCCTCTTGGAGCAAGGGCTGCAGCTCCAGAAAAGCTGTGCTGGAATGTTACTGTCAGACTGTGACTTTGTAACTCTGTTCATGCCCATCATGGCTGAGGAATCTTACAATGAAAGGTGCAGTTTAAAGGAAGAACAGACAAGAAATTCCCTTAATTTCCTTTGGAACATACATGGAGGAGCACAAACACAGCTACAATCATTCACAGACTAGAAATCACACTCATTTTAATGTTTGCTGTCAAACCTATCATGACAGCAAACTTGGAGAAATTATTCATTAAGTCAGAACCAGCTTCTGTCCACAGTAGGGATTTTTAGGATCTATCCCTAAGATAACTTTGGTAATTGAGAGCAGAGTTTAGTTGGTAAAGGTGAAGATAGTGCAAAACCAAGTAAATGCCAAGTGCTGTCTTTCAGATTAATCCCTTAAACTCCTCCAAAACACCACATTAAAGCTGGGCTGAAGAGCAATTGCAAAATGAGCAGCTGCTGCCTAATGAAGCCCAAGTGGCATCACCCAGCTCAGGGATGGAGCTCAGTGACTGCAACAACACAGAGCCAAGGTGGGCTGACAGGGTCAGAGCTGAACAGAACTTCCTAGTCAGAAACAGAATTTGACTTTGTTGCTTTAGATGTTTCTTTCTGAGAGAAACATTGGATTTTCTTTGCAAAGTGTTTCCAGGTTTTAGTCAGCTGTGTTTGGATGATTGGCTGGTTTTCAGAATAAAAAGTCAGATTTATCTCTAGAAAATAATGACAATGAAGATAAATTATTAATCAGCAGTCATGAACCTCAGTCAGTGTTTCAAATGCTTAAATGAAGGGGTCCAAAAACTGTCAGAGAAATAAAGAGGCAGAAAAATTGTTCTGTGCAAACTGCCTTCCCTTTCTGCATGTGCCTGCCTCCTCGACCTCCTTCCCAGCACTTCTGAGATTTATCTCTGAGGAAACTGGTTGTAGACACAAGTAAAGGCAATCAGACCAACTGATTATTCAATCAATTATGCAGATTGCTAATACATATGTGGTATTATAAAAAGATAGTTATTTCTAGCTATTTAGTGACTCCGTGTATTTAAATATCATAGGACAGTCCAATTCAATGACATCCCTGCTTTTATATCTAAGAGCACAAGGAATGTCCAGAGATATGTAAAATGTTCATTTGCAGGCATGAATGACAAAAACCAAAGCTTTAAAATACACAAGCAGCATTTCCAAATCCAGCACTAAGATTCCTTAGAATCTTCAGAGAGTCTACAGACTTGTCCAAACTAACCAGAATTCTCTCACCAAACCAAGAAGGAACAGAAGCATTCCTGCTGTGGCTCTCTGTGCGCAAAAACCCACCTAAGACAGGCCCAGGGGACACCTCCTGAAGGGACAAGTGCAGAAAATCCTCATCCTGGGATCAGAGAAACACCTTGGAGGCTGTCCCCAGCATCTGGCTCGGGGACAGCAGAAGAGCACATCTGGCTGCCAGCACTGAGAGCTGCACCCTGAGACCCCAGGACAGCAATGGAAAGATGAATAAACTTCTACTCATAAACAAGGAAATCTTTCTGCCCACAGCAAGAATAAAATGCCCTCTCCACTGGGACTCTGCAGCTCCTCGTGTGTCTTTTTCCCACTCCAAACTCAGCCTGTTTAGTGCAGCTGTCTGAGGCACAAACACAATTCTCAATGACAGGATGCACAACATCAGCAGGAACATAACTGCACATCCCCAGGCACAGAGCCCAGCACCTCTGGCCAAACCAGGGAGGAGCCTGGGTGATTTGGGCTCTGTGCAAGCACCCCCAGGAGTTCTCCTGGTCATCCCAGATTTGAGACATGCAGAAAAACAGGAGATTGTTTCCAGCTTTGGTGGGAGCTGCTGGCTTGGGGAGGTGCAGGATGCCAGGAGTTAAAGAGAGCCTGACAGATCTGCAGCCAGACTTGGGCACAGCACAGCAGGACATCCCTTGCACTTGTGTCAGTGATCAAAGCACCAACATGCAGCACCCATTATCCAAAATGCCAGATAACCACATAGGTCTGTGTGCCAGACACTGAGGGACGTGCACTGCAGTTGCTCCCTCTTAAGTGCACAGCAAAATTTAATCCCCAGAATAATCTGCTCTTTTCTTCCTTCATTCTATTTCTTTCCAAGTGTGGATGTTTTCCTGAAGCAGGCAAAGAGGTTCCCATCCCCATTTCCTTAAGGGCATACCCCATGTCTCCCTACAGTTTTCCATATTGCACTTCATGTTTTAGTGACTCCAGCTGGGCAGGAGGGAAGGGTGCTCAAATACCTCCAGAACCACCCCTTGGAATCCTTTGTTCCTCTCCTCTACTAAGTAATAGCCAGCATCTTTCTGCCATCAATTTACTTTATGATGCCTTGAAATCATCTCTTACATGAATAATAATTTCCTCTACTTTTAAATGGAATCTGCACTGGGAAGAGATCTATTTCTCTCCAAGCCTGACAGTTTCTCATCCTCCTGTATGAGGATGTAGGCTGACAACTCCTATTCAATCATTTCCATTGTGCCTACTAAACTTAATGCTTTCATTTCAAGTAGCTCCTCCCAACTCACACTTCTCCACTAGAAGTAATAGATTAGGAAATAATATCTGCATAGTTCCCATGCACCTGCATGGCAAACGTGCAGAGTCTAGTCCAAATTTGCTCTCTAGCAAATAAATAAAATGATGCTTCAGTTTTTGGAGGGGTTCTCATCAAGCTGCTACAAGCAGCTCTATCAAGAAGCCTCTCAGAGGGGAGCTTTGGTTTAGATCTTGTTTGAGCTGAGTGTTCAGGCACATGCCCAGTACCTTTATGCAGAGCAGCTCTCCAGGAGAGGTGCACTCCTCTGTAAAGCTTCCTTACACTCTGTCCTCAGATGTTTTGAAGACTTGGTCCACAGCTCAGAGCTGGCAGAAGCAATTCAGCTGGCTTTGACAGCATTTGTACAAACAGGGATTTAGCTCTTAATACATTTCTTGCTGGAACTTCATGAAATACCCCTGACTTTTTTCTTTTTTTCTTTTTTTTTTAAAATTACATTATATGACATAGGGAAGCCTACAGTCCTCAAGAACCTGTGTGAAGATAATTCACTAAAGGACATTTCAGCCAAAGCCCTGTGGTCTCTTTCTACTCCTAAGGCAAATAGTTCTTCTATGACACTTTGTTTCTGTGGGCTCTTTAATTCTAAGTTTCTTATCTTTTAATTGCTCTTTTTAGTTGCAAGCATGTTAATCCCTCTGTTTCCATCTTTAAAATGAAGATTTGTCTTTCAGCAATTGTTTTTCCTGCATCAACAAGTAATCTTTATTAGTTTTGTAGTTTAAGAAAAGCAGCTCTGTAAGCATCTGATCTTCACAGGTTTTCAGCGTCCAGGTTTTTTTTGATTTAGCTGCAAAATTGCTACAAGATTACTTCTACTTGGAAGTCCCACTAGAACTGCAACTTAATCACTGTAGGTTCTGCACAAAACAACTGGCTCTGTCCTTTCAGTTGACAGGTATCTAAAAAACAGAAGGTGAGCAGAGGAAAAAAAGGCTGGCAGAGAAGTCAATTGCTTTAAATTACACAGGAGCTTTAGGAGAAAGCTCTCCTGGCTGCTGGAGTAGTGTCTGCCCATCCCCTGCCACTGACTCTTGCCAACAAGAGAGGAATTCTCTGAATTCTGTTTCCACTTACTGAGGACCTGCAATGTTTTTTATGGTTAGATGACAAATGATGTGTTTCCTGAAATTTTCAAACCAGGTTTCCTTGTTGTCACCTCAATGTATTGCCCTGAAACTTGCTCCAAGGGCAGTGGTTACACAGGGAACCACAGGACCCTCACTCCCTGGGCAGCAGAGAAAGGGTAAAGCCCTGCTGCCTTGACCAGACATAAAGCTCTGAGAGGTAAATCAACTGTGGGATTTTATTTTATTTTATTTTATTTTATTTTATTTTATTTTATTTTATTTTATTTTATTTTATTTTATTTTATGACAAATTGCTGCTATATTGCAGCAGCCATGTTGACAAGTAGCCCAACAATATCTAGTCACTGGATTTTGTAATTCCACCTCTGCCTCAGAGACACATCCAGAGAGAAATGTGAATCCAGAGATTTCTGGTTTGGCCTGGAACTTGGTTCTAAGGGAGGAGCACACATTCTGCAAAGAGGAGCAAAAAGGAGGAGCTATTTGGGGTGATTTTTGTTCATCATTTGAAGAGTACATCAAACTGCACTAATGATCACTCTCCTCACAGTAAACACATTTGTGGAATCAGATGTTCCTTTAGAAAGAATGTAGGACATTTAATAGTAGACTGAAAACAGTTCCA